CCCCCAAAACCCCAAAACCCCAAAACCCCTTAGATTTAAACGCTTATTGAATTAGGATTAGTGAAGTACCCGCAGATGTGCTGGGAGGGAGGATGAGAGGGGTACTTATGGTTTCTTAGGTTTGGAATAGTTCTTCTTATACCGGTCAAGGAGAGAGCTTTTCTTTTTCGTAGGTTTCTTGTCGTTCATGGCGTAGCAGAATTTGAATTCTTTAATAGCTCTTTTATGTTTCTGCTGACTACTCTCATCCATATCAATATCCAGCTGCACATTAGTCCTCTTGTACCCCTCTTCCAACAGTTCATCTCAGTCCTGGCGCATGGCTGACTTGCCAAAATTGTCAACAGTAATTACTCTGGAAGACTCAGGATCAGCCTTCTTCTTCAGCATGGTCATTACGTGCTTTAGGTCAGCTTCCTCAGAGGCTGGAGGGTCTTCGGGCTCTTCTTCTTCGGGGATCGAAGGAAGCGTACTTTCTTCATACTCTATCTGTGGCCTCTTGTGGTGTTTTATAGGGGGATTTCTGGATTTGTCTATGAGGTGTTTGTTTGATAAGAAAAAGGCTTCAACGTCTTCCTTTAGAAAATCAAATTTTGGGTATATCTTTTTCCTCATTTTGAGCCATCTTGAAAGCTGAATTGTGCTTTGCTTGAACCTTTCATCAAATAAAAGAACTATCCCACAATCTTCAGCATGCCGGATGACTCTTCCAACAGCTTGGTTGGTAGCTCTACTGGCTTGTAGAGTGTACCACTGCTGCCCTCCAATATCAGAAAGATTTCTATTCTTTTTTGCAGTCATATACTCCCTCTTTAAGACCACCTTAGGATCATAATACTGGGGATAAGGAATACCCACAAGAATGACTGCCCTGGCTGCATCATCTGTGAAGTCAATTCCTTCAGCAAATTTACCTCTGCAGACACCTAGGAATAAAGCCTTTTTCTTCTTTTTGATTTCACTTAGATATCCATCAAAAGTTGCATGAAATTTAGCCTGGGATTTTGGCTCAATAAAGAGTTTTCTCTTAAACTTTTTGTAATCCCCAGAGTCTTTCCATAACTTTACTGTCTTACTGAGCAGGTTGTAGGAGGGGAAGAACACCAGAATTCCACCAGAGATCATCGGATCCAAAGCAATCAGGGATTTGCCTACACTTGCAAGCATTGTATAATTTCCTCTATTTTCATACTTGAAGTTGAACACTGATCCATCAACGCCTTCATTGACGATGCCTACCATTGCTTGGGAATGTGAGATTACATGATCATTTTCAAGTTTGATTGGGAAATCTCTACTAAATAAAACTAATCTGACTTACATCTGCAGCTCGTTATCAAAGGTATTCATTGGCGTTAAAGTTCCAGAAGCGAGGATAATAGACCTTGGCTTCTCATTAACAAATTCTCTGAATGCATAAGCCGGGTTGAAGCACCAGAAGCCTAGCTTTCTTTGGTTCTTTTTGTCCTTCTCTTCGAATTCGTCGATGATAAACATGAAGAAGTCTTCTTCATATTCTGCTGAGATCTTGTAAGCACTTGAGATTTTCTCAAGACTCTCAAATAGCTTATTCAGGATCTTGGACTTATCAGGAAGGTCAAGAATACATGTCTCTAAGATCTTCTTGATCAAAGTGAGGTTATCAGCGAAGTTCTTGTTTATATTGTCCACATCGAAGTTCTTGACTAGGTCTGCATGTTTTCTGTCTCTGATAAGGTCTTTCTCTCCCTTTAGTTTAGCAAGAGCATTTGCGATTAGAAGGAACATCTCGTTCATTCTAAAAACATGGAGGTTTTTATCAGATCCTTTAACATGAATCTTATTCTTGTTGTTCAGAACATTGTAGCTTTCAATGACATCAATGAGCTTGAGGACGAACAGACGAAGTAACTTAGAGTCAACTGCTTTGTTCATTAATCTATTCTTGTCGACACTCCATTCCTTAGCTTCCTTGTCCTGATAGACTCCTCATAAGCCACTTAGTAGCTGGTAGCAGATAAAGAGGTCGTTGATGGTGAGCTCGAATCAGGTCATCTCTTCGCAAACACTTTCGATATTATGAGCTTCATCAAACACAACTATCGAGTCTCTGAATGGTAAGTTAAGCATGCTTCTCATTGATTTATCCAAGATATAGTTGTATGGCATGACAACAATATCTGCAACATTCGTTCTGAGTCTGGTCAGGTAATACGGACAGACTCTTCTTATCTCTCCTATTTTAACATAATCCTCAACTGCGTAAGACTTCCATGGGATAATCTTGGAGATTTTAACAAAGGAATCACTGGCTGTCTTAGCAGCATTTGTTTTAGGCTTACTGCTAGATTGCCCCAGAATTCCCTCAGATTTAGCCTTCTTATTATTTGGAAAGAAAGGACATCTGGTTACTTTCCCAATGTCTTCAATGTCTCCGGTTTTTACACCTCCTTTCCTTTTAGTTGAGTCGAAGATATTTCCTGTACTTTTAGAAGGAGTGCTTGAAGGAGCTATAATTTTCTTCTTTATTGATGATCTGACCTTCTTTCAAGCATGATTCAATGCAGTTCCTGCATATTTATCTTTGACATCATCATAGATACAAAGCAACTGTCTTGATGCGTAAGGAACTGCTCTCGCTTGGTATGGAAGTTTCTCTCTGATTTCCTTCATCACCTGGGATATCTGCGAATGAGTTCTTGTGCAATAAATCACTGTAGAAAGTGGTCTCTTGACGTGTCCTTGTCTATAGATTCTTCTGTCTTCCTTTACAATCGCTCATACTGCACTCAGAATAGCCAGGGTTTTACCAGTTCCTGTTGGACTTTCAATAAGAGCATTTAAATTGTTCAAAACAGCTTTAGATACATAGTCAATAATATTCCTCTGTGATTGGTATGGAGTTAGAAAAGGGAAATGAACAGTAAAGTCTTCAATTGAGATTTCTCCTCTTGCATATTCAGATTTTACTAAAAATGAACATAAATTTCTTACCTTTAACTATTCGATTTTCGATCTTGTCCTGGTCAAGTTCACTAATATCAGTCTTACTCTCGATGAAATCATCATTTTCTCTCCTTTTAACCTTTTTGGATTTTTTGTGCTTACTATTAGCCCTAGTTCTTTTCTGTGGCTTTAGTCTAAAAGTCTTCTTTCCCTCCTTCCCACCAGTTTTCCCTACCATAGGATCACTTTGCTTAATATAAAAATTCGTTCTGTTCTCTACTGCTTTCTCTTCACTATCCGATACGAACGGTAAACTGCTCCCATCAGAAGATCAGTCTGACTGTGAGACTCTGCGATTTCTCAAGAAATCAATGACTTTCTTACTCATATATCCCTTGAAATCCCCTGATTCGCTCTCAGAAGGCCATTCTGGGTGCGTCCAATTATTCAGTTTCAATTATGACCCAAAACAGGGGTTTTGGGGTTTTGGGGTTTTGGGGTTTTGGGGTTTTGGGG